TAAAAGTTGTGCACAGCATTTATACACACAGAGGGGAAAACTGAATATATGAGTTGGGGAAATAAGAGAATATAAATTTTTTCAGATTATTTTATATTCTTTCCAAATCCTAACTACATATGTCGAAAAAAGTGAAGATATTTATATTTCTTCGAAATTTACATTCTAGATTATATAATGTTCTAATTCAATTTAGAAAATGGCTCCACATGCATATTATAAAAGCTTTTAAAAGAGACTAACTTTTGAATTAAAATTTATGCAAGAGAAAATGTAATTATAACTTGAGCTGGTTTTCAAATTAAATGCAAAATTTTAATCAAATACATTCAACAACAATAAGACTTTATTTTTTAATTCACTTATATTACTAAAGCTGTTCAAACTACAACCTTAAGGCTAATCTTATATTTTAATAAAACCAAACACCTCCAATTCAAAAATAAAGTTCTTACATAACTGACTTTGTATTTTAAATTACTGAATTAGAGTGCCCTCTATTGGAAGAAAAAGGCAATAAAAGCTAAACAGGACTATGAATAGCTAAAATAGTCCCAAAATTCAAGTCACATCATTAATAAATACATTTATTAATAATATGAATGCTACACAACACATTTCCTTACATTTAAATTCCTTCTAAGTTACTTTTGGATTTGTCATAGTACAATGAAAAGTAGTATGTTTCAGATCATCTAAAATTAAATTTTAACTGAACCTAAATGCCTGTCCTTCAGACAGTAATGTAAGTAATAAACCAATAAAAATGTCCACATTTAACATTCTGACATAATAGAAATAATTTTAATTTGGACTATAACTGAAGGATAGTTGGAATTTGCTTGGTGAGAACTTTAAAATGTTCCTAATTCAAGATATTTTTAGAGCTCTTACCTAGGTTGGAGAAATAGGCTGGATTCTAGAAAATCTATATGATTTAGGCCAATTCTAAGAGTCTATAATTGTGTGTTGTTATCAAGACCTCCGCTCAAACTCAGCACCTCAGGCCTGAATTACCTCAGCAGGGACTTGGCAAACTCAGCACCTCTAGCCCAAGAATGTGCATGTTAGAAGAAACTTTTTAAAAGAACAATGCTTAGAGCCACCGAAAATATTCTGCTTTAGTTGATCTGACATGGTATCTGAAGGCCTCTGTATTTCTTGAAGCTTCAACAGATAAGTCTACTTTATAACCACGGCTGACATTCCTTGTTTGAGCTTCTCCCCAGAACATCTGGCATTCAGTAACCATTTCCATCTTCCCAAAATCTCACCTACAGGAGAGAACTCTCCTTTTCAAGTATTTATTCTCCTCAGCATCAATATTAAATGTCTGACTAGCTTTCCAAATATAATTATCTATCCCTAGCAAAATGTTGTCTGGTAAGGGGTATGGCTCCAGCCCAGACTGTCTGTGTTCAAATCCTGGCTCTGGTATTTACCATGTATGCTTGGGAAGATCATAAAAGTTCTCTATGCCTCTGTTTTCTCATCTGTGAAATGGGAAGAAATAAGTCTACCTATCTCATAGGATTATTGTGAGGATTAAACCAGTTAATATAAATAAAGTGCTCCCTAAGTGTAAGGTACAATATAATATTAATATAACTCATGCAAATTTGTTTCCCATTACTTTTTCAAATCAACTCTCGCGGTAAACCACTCTCCTTAAATTGGATGCTATGTCTCTCCTCTATACTATCTCTGCAGGCTAGAATCCTCTCCCATTCATTCATTCATTCATTCATTCTAATACAAGTACATGGCACATCTCCTCTTCCACCAGGACCCAGTTTAGTTTCTCCCTGCCTCCATGAAGTCTTCAATGAATGCCAATAAATCGTCACTAACCTCTTCCTTCTTAAAAAAAAAAAAAAAAAAATCCTTTGGCCGCAGAATAGTTTATTATGAGAAATATAAGACACTGGCTCTGAGTTTGAATCCTGAATCTGCCACTTGCGGAGTCATTTACCAAGTCTATAACTCACTTATTAGGACTACTATGAGGATCAAAGTGACTGAAATCATAGAAAGCATTAGAATAGCAAACAGCAAGCACCTAATAAATGTAGCTCTTACATAGATGTTGTTTTATATGTTAGCATTGCCTGCACACTGTGACTAGAGACTCCTTGCAAAAAGTATTTTTAATTCCTTAAAGTTAAGAACTGTCTCTCATTATTGCTATTATAAATTCTATAGCTCACAATGTGTAGATGACCTATAGATTATCTATAAGTACTTGGTTAAATTGATGCATAATTTGAGAGTATAATTCATAAAAACACTCTGGAAAAACATTTTTTGATGAGTGGAAACAAATATTCAACAAATCAGGAAATGAACCCAAATAAAACACAGGCTGCAGACAAGGGTAAATAATTTGATTACATTTTCAACATTCAATAACAAGTTCTATCACATTTATCTTCTGAAAGGCCACTTCCAATGATGTCTTACTTGCCCAAAATCCTTTAGATTTTCCTCATTCCCTAAGAAATAAATATCAAAATTCTCAGCATGACATTCAAAATCATGGCCTGGCCTCTACCTATTGTTATATATTTATCCCCCATTTCCCCCATCTCTCCCCTATTACAAACTCTATTATCCCAAATAAACAGAACTCCTTCTTCTTACTCATCTGTTCCTTTTTCTTTTCTGCCTCATGTAAACTTTAATATTGAAAATGGTAATATTTTCAAGGAATAAAATATAAAGGTTTGTCACAGAAACAAAGAGCGATTGCTTATGTGAAAGTATGAACTTGAATTTGAAAAACTTGATTTCAATTTATGAGCATTAATTTTTCTCATGCTACTATCACAATATAGTCTTTGGCTTACATCGGAGGGGGGGGGGGGGGATGGCCATCATTTCCTCAAATTATGTCACCCCAGCAACGCCATATGTGCCTGCCATCACTATCTGAAAGCTACAAATCTAAATGAGCACAGTCTCCAAAGAGAGTGTGCAGACCCCAGGGGGCCCAAGATTGCCCACCAAGTAAAAGGATAAATCAGAGCTTCTATTGACCCTTACTCTTTATCCTCCTCCCTTGAGTTTCTTTTGTAGTATATTATACATAATTTACATCATATATTCTTAGAATACTAGTAGATATAGATAATTTACTAGAGGCCTGGTGCATGAAAATTCATGCACTGGAGGGTGTGTCCCTCAGCCCAGCATGCCCCCCCTCACAGTCTGGAAGCCCTTAGGGGTGGGAGGCAACCCAGTGATCAGAAGAAGGAGACCTCTGCTGCTGCCATGCTGCCACTGCCGGCAGCGCAAGTCTCAGTCAGCCCTGGTTACCTGAGCCTTGGGCAGCCCTGGGAGGCTGGACAGCCACCATCCGAGGCTTGCCTGCATCTCGGGCTGGCCCTGGGTGGCTGGGGGGCTGAGGGGATTAGGGGACCCTAGAAGCAGGTGCACAGAGCAGTCGGGCCCACCTGGGGGCGGGCCCAGCCTTGCCGCCGCTTGTGGGTGTGGGTGTCGCCATCTTTGAGGGAAAGGCAGTCAATTAGAATATTCCCTTTTTATTGGCGGTGGGCGCCACCATCTTTGTGGCAGCGTGAGAGTCAATTAGCATATTTCCTCTTTATTACATAGGATAAATAAATATATTTGGGATGTTTCCTCAGAAACTGTTTACTACTATGGTACTTACAATAAGAAAAGTTTAATAAATGAACTGGCCTAAAAAATGAGGGCTTTCCAAAAGTCTGTGGATTTAAACATACAGGGTCAGAAACAACAAATTTATAGAAATCTTTAGAAACAGATATAAAAACCTAAACACTATGGATTGTTTATGCAGAAAAAATTTCTAACCAATTTCAAGGAAATATTGAACTGTAATTGCTTTGTAATTTGGAGACAGCATATACCTTTTTATTATTTTTAAACAGGGAATTTTCTCCTGACATTAAAGTTATTATTATATCATTACTATTTCATTAATATAAATTCTTTTCTTTTGGTAAAACCAAGTATTTACTCCTGCGCATATACTATATCATTAATCAACATCATATTCTACATAAAAACCTTCTATTGGAGCAAACAGTGTGATGTTTTACTAAAGACAGTGCAGCAAACAAACAAAAACAAAAGCAGGCCTATGTGGTAAGACCAGCTGTGACCTTCCAGACTAACAGCTACTACCTGGGAAAGCGTCACAGCTCACAGTGACTAACTAAATGAAGTAAATAGCCTCATACCAGCCACGATACTTGGCCATTTATTTTTGTCTTCATAAATCATATGGCACACCTTTAACACAATCCACTCTATTGACTTTAGAAGAAAATGTTTCTAAAACAAGTTAAGTTATAAAAGTATCATCATAATATATTTCCTTTAATTCCAGTGCATCCTATAAATCCTTCCTCTATAAGATACAAGATAGATATCCAAATCTTAATTTTAAACTGCTTGATTCTATAGTTTTTCTTGCTATTGTGCCAATACAAAAACCCAAACAAGCAAGCATCTATAACTCATGATTCAGATTCTGAGCTTGTAGGTTACAGGCAAAGCCCTCAGGATTATAAAAAACATGGAGGTCGAACTTCCCACCATGTCTCTGTCCTACAATGACATGTGGAGTGACCATACACACGGAGCTCTGTCTTCTTCAGATGGAGTTAGCCACAGTTCACAGACAACATGGGGAGGGAAGACAAAAGGAAACCAGTATCATCACACCCAGTAAAACTAAAAGAACATAATCAAAAAAAACTATGCAACTACAAACATCTAACAGTAACGAGATCATCACAAACTACAAGTGATTTATCTAAGCATCCCTTCCCATCCCCATGCAGTGAGAATAAAACACCAACGAACACGAGGGAAAAGTAATAGGTAGCCTGAGATTTGACACTGGCTGAGTCAGCAGATAAGAGAATGCACAAAGCCCATGCCTCTTCGGTGCACTCTGCACTGGTAAAGACAGACGAACTGTCTTCTTGCCCATCCCCTTTCCCATTACTTACTACACTCTGGCTTCCATTTTTCCCAAGTTCTTCCTCCGAAATCTTGCTCAAATTATCTAAGTAGTGGTCTGATATTGTGTGGCACAAGTCTTCAAAAGAATAATCCTTTTCTTGACAGAGTTTTATTTCATCCAGGAGTTTTGATAATTCTCCAGTCACAGTTTCACCTGTTAAGGGGATAGTAAATTTTTTCAAAGCTTCAAAAAAGGCCACTGATAAAACTTAATGTCAAATAATAGAAATATGACTTGTGATGGTAATAGAACTCAAAATATGGCAAACAAGATCAAGTACTCAAATTATTCTGCTAAAAACAAGATACTAAACTATAAATAGTACAAGAATATTTAAACACAATGAGAAATACCAATTTTGCCTATAATTATTATTTTTCCAAATTGAAATAAGTATTGAAGGTTTACATATACATGGTACATATCTGGAATTATGATTCCTAAACCTTCATTTACTATAGCATTTAATTTTCCACACTCTTTTATCAGCATTACAATTCACTGACAGAATTCATTCAACAACCCATTAGTAAATTTAAAATTATACTAGATCCCACTTCCTAGGTTTAATAAAAAATTAACAGTAGAATGTATTAAAACAAGTAATTAATAAATTAAAATTATGATATGTGGCATTAAGGGAAGACTCGGAAGAAACAGGTAAATAATATGCAGCACCTGTCAAAACATGCATATTTGAAGGTTGCATGCAAATAATATTAATTTTTCTAAACATTTTAAAAATGGCACTTTATACTGATAATTTATTCTGGAAACAAATCCAGTAGTTACAATCCAGACATCAGTATTTTTTATTCTGCATTAAAAATGCATTTTAGGAAAAAATAACCTACAATGAAATATCCACTCCATGTAAACTTCATGGCAGCAGGAATTGCTCTCTACCTTGCTCACCTCTGTACCTCAGGGCAGTGAGTAGGGCCTGACAAATAGTAGGAGCTCAATAAATGCTGGCTGAATAAATGGATAAAATATAGAGGAATAAGGTAGAACTTATTAGACTTGAAATTTTCCCAAGGCTTAGCCATTTTGTATATTGATAGATAGGACAAAGTTGTAACTAAAAGTCCAGTATATCATTTCAAGGATTTATAATTAGCTACTCACTTTTGGACTTTGGAGAAGGAGACTCAAGAGGAGATGAGAGGTGTGTTTCCTGTGTCGTACATTCTTGTACATGTGCTTCCAGGACTGCTGGTCTTCCCGTGCCTTCTAAATATTCTGTGTATAAGTTTTAAATTACATATTTAAATTCATTTATTTTAAAATCTTTAACTAAACTTTATGCTTTACCACTGGTGACCATTTTTCATGTCTTTCCTCATATCCTAAATACACCCTAAGTTTTTATAAGAACTTCATAAAGAAAAAAGAAAAGAAAAAAAAAACCTTCACGGTGAGCTATTAACTTAAAGCTCTTAATGAAAACAAAAAAGTTATTTTTGGAAGAGACTTATGAACCCTTTTTCTGAAGACTAAGCTTAATCCATTCTTTCCTTAAAAATGACTTCACCTCCCTTAGCCACTTTGGCTCAATGGATAGAGCATCAGCCATTGGACTGAAAGGTCCCAGGTTCAATTCTGGTCAAGGGCACATTCTGGTTGCAGGCTTGATCCCCAGTAGGAAGCGTACAGCAGGCAGCTAATCAATTATTCTCTATCATCATTGATGTTTCTCTCTCTCCCTCTCTCTTCCTCTTTCTTCCTCTCTGAAAACAATAATAAATTTTTAAAAAATAATTTCACCTGTTGAAAACACAATAACATTTATGGTTTCCGTAAATGTATTCTGCCTAAAGATTTAAACTCTGAGAGATGCTTTGAATAGACTTGATTCCTAAGCAGAAATGTCAAATTCATTTGGATACAACAACCAGTCAAATCACCTAAATGAATGAAGAGGGATAAGTTTATGATAATATGGTATTGTCACCTAGAAAGATAAGCATGCCTGCATATTAAACTTTATTCCTACAAAGAAATAATGTTCTTTCTCATTATTCTCAGAGCAATGTCCCACACTCAGACTCTCTCTCATTTTTTAACTTTGATGAAGTTAGTAACAGCAGCTAAAATGAAAATTTTGCTTACTATGTTTCCAGCAATGTTCTAAGTATTTAATATAAATTAACTCAATCCTCACAAAACAACAACACAGGCACTATTACAATATTAGTTTTAAAGATGACAACTAAAGGAAAAGAACTTTAACTTGGCCTCATTCATACAGCTGAGTGGCAGAGCCAAAAAGACACAGGACAAGAAAACATCTCACTTTTGAACATAAAGAAAACGGCACCTCAATGTGAGAAAATATCCACAAACAGTCAGCACCGGTGTCATGGAAGAGCAGAGAGCATACAGACCATGAGTAGCTAGAGAGGAGGTACACCACCTAAAGTTAGGCAATGAAGGAAAAAGAAAGCCTGCATATTTTGACAATTTTTTTAAATATATTTTATTGATTTTTTACAGAGAGAGGAAGAGGGATAGCGAGTTAGAAACATCGATGAGAGAGAAACATCGATCAGCTGCCTCCTGTACACGCCCCACTGGGGATGTGCCTGCAACCAAGGTACATGCCCTTGACCAGAATCAAAACCTGGGACCCCTGAGTCTGCAGGCCAACGCTCTATCCACTGAGCCAAACTGGTTAGACGAGCTTGCATTTAAAAAAAAAAAAAAAAAAAAAAAAAGCAAAACAAAAACAAAAAAAAACTCTGGAGTTTTAACTAAAATCCAAGATTTTTAAATATTGAAAGCTAATTCAATTTTTTTAATGGCAATAGTGTGACCTAAAATATGTGATCTACAAAATGTATCTGCTATCTCCCCCAAGCAGGCAGCGCCCAGTGGTTAGAATTCAATGAATAGATCCCTCCCTATGGGAATTTTTTACTTGCATTTCTTGATTCAGAAGAAACCTTTTTTTAAAAAATCCAGTTAAGAAAGTGTGTGCTCTCCTGCCAGCCACTGATGTCCTCACATCATCCAAATAGTTCTTACCTCAGGGCAATTCTACTAGGCACATTCTACTAGGAAAAGAAAGCAACTTATAGGCTTCTGTGCTTAAAAGTTTTGACTCATGCAGTAATTATGAAAACTGAATTTCTCCTGGGATACAAATAGTAATTTTATCTACTATCAATTGGCTTTATTGCTATAACAAACTTTTTCATACGATTTAAGATGCATCAGTGAGCCCAGCCGGTGTGGCTCAGTGGTTGAGTGTCGACCTATGAACCAGGAGGTCGACACGGTTCAATTCTCAGTCAGGGCATATGCCTGGGTTGTGGGCTCAATCCCCGGTGTGGAGTGTGCAGAAGGCAGTCAATCAATGATTCTCTCTCATCATTGATGTTTCTATCTCTCCCCTTCTCACTCTCTGGGAGGGAAAAAAAATGCACCAGTGACTTGAAATACAGGAATATAAAGAATATAGAACGTATTCACATTCTAAAGTTTTCCAATAATTTTAAAAATTCCAAGGTGTCCCATGTTCCCTATCACAAACTGTCATACCTAATGAATCATGATCATTTAAAAGAACACAGTTATTCCTCTATAAGGACATTTTCATTTAAGTTGAACTAATGCAGCATCTTATAAAAAATGTCTGTAATTCTGTCATGCTCCCTTTTTAGTGTATATTTATTTTGCTTTTTCCAAAAACACACTATGCACAAGCCTCAGTTGTTGGGTTGTTTGTGTTTTGTGTTGTTGTTTTTTTAATCTCAGAGTAAAAAATCCAACATGAAATACAAATCACCTAGAGGAGAAAGACTTATAAAAATGCTGCGTACTACTTTTATGTTTCAGCTTTGATTCGACTCGATTTTAATTTGATTTGATATGAAGTGCCACTCTTGTACTCTTCTCTGATTTATCTCTATAAGCACTTGACTTAAAATTAACTTCTTTATTGACAAGAAAATGGTAGGGGCCTGAACTTCCGTGAGAGGTTTTGGAAATTTGGAGAGAAGAGAGCATAATGACCTCCTGGAGTGTATCTCTTCTTCTTACCCCGCTTTGGCCCTTGTTGACCCTACATTTCTCCTGCTCACTTGGTTGTAATTCACTTATCTCCCTGCAGGACAAAGCTGTTTTCAGCCCCCCAACTGATAATCAAATGAAACCTGTCCAGCCTCCCGTCTCAATTGCATTTGCAGCCAATCCGTAACAATTACAGGGGCTAATCGCAGCTGAATAGTGCCTGAGCTGACTGGAATGGAGAGAACAAACCTCTGGGTTTTTAAGGGAACATGCTACATGCCAGGCCTAGCAGCAAGCAGAAAGGGAGAGCGTTTAAATCTAAATTCTTTTAATGCTTTTTTTTATTGGCTTCAGAGAGAGAATCACTGATCCCCTGCCTCCTGCACACCCCTCACTGGGGATCTAGCATGTGCCCTCCTGGTTCACAAGTTGATGCTCAACCACCCAGCCACACTGGCTGGTCTAAATCTAAATTTTTCAGAGAAGTTTTCAATCAAACGGGGACGTGTGTAATCCTGAAAAACAAAAAAGCAGCACCTAAACGGTTGTCAAACCTTCAGTATACCTAGTGACTGCAACTAACTACAAAAGTATTTAAATGGCCTTTATAAAAAACAGAGCTGGCAAGACGGAACTATTGGCACTGCTGGATTAGGGAGAAAATAATCTACATACAATTTACCGTTGTTAACCCAGCATTTGCGTACCAACTCCACCACTCCGATTAGAATATACGAGTTTGAGCAAGTCCCTTAGACTCTCAGAACTTCGCAACAATGGCATCTGACTTACTACCCTCACAGATTAAAGAAATAAGACAAAATAACAAAAATCCCTGAAAACTCTTTTAAGGGTTACTCACATGCAATATAATACTTAATTATCATCATTGTATAACCTTCTACCTTCCAGTTCATCACTACGTATTTAATATCTGTGTTTAAGAGAGACTAATATCAAGTGCATGCAAAAAGACCTCAGCTTTTCTTAAAATACTGAGTAGTTGAAAAACCAAAATAAAACATTACAAAGAATTTTTTTAGTTTAAAATTCTACTAGAAAAAAATGCAAAGAAAAAGTTCATTCAAAGGTAAATATGAACTCAAACCCCAAGGGAAAACTAGGACGGTTTTAATTGAATCTTAACTTTAAGGCACACTCATCCATCATTCAATGCTGTTTACCTTGTAAGAGGGTTGCAATCTGGAGAGATTTCTGAGATGGATGTTCTTTCAGAATGTCTAAGACAGTTCTCCCTAAACTGTCCTTTATATTGGCATCAATGCCTGAAAGAAAAAAGAAAACCCCACTAGATATACAACATTGGAGTGACCAGAAGGAACTGTTAATGTATAACTGCTCTAATTTCAAACATATACACACTAAGCACATTTAAAAAGTCATTTTTTTAAATTAAGTCCCATGTGCACACATACACATGTTAAGATTTTAATAAAACAGAAGGTGGGCATCTACTGCTACCAAATATTAGGAATAATCTTAATAATGAATTAACTCCTTAAGAATTTTTTTTAGGATGATAGCTATTTTAAATCGTAAACTAAATGGGACAAGCTGAAAATATTCATTCAGAATGTGAATTCCTAAAGTATAACGGTCATGTGATTTATTGTATATAGTCTGTGTGTCATAAAAATATTTTTAAATTATACTGAAGTACCATTTGAATAATATAACAGTCATAAGTACTTGAATAGTCATGAAAGTTGAAAGAGTATGATTATTTAGAACTCTTGTCCAAATACCAAAGTCAAATATTTCATAAATTTTCACCAATGTCAGCAACACTCATCCTCTGCATGGTGAGCAAACTTACTGAAGTGCATAATTAAAAACTGTTGGAATTATTTTAATTCTGAAAATGCATACTGCCCTGAAGAACTTAATGTAGCAAATAGCTTTCGCCACCCTAAAAATGTTTATAATAAAAATGTTTATAATAAATTTCCAAACATCTGGAGACAGAGACACTTTTCAGTATCTGGCCTCAAATGTTCATCACAGTAAGAGTACATATTGTTTTTATTATTTTTTTCAGTTGTGTAGGGATGTGTGACTAGCACACATTTAATTAAATGCGCCTCAACACATTTAATATATCACTGTGTTACATGTCAAGTTCAAGATACATGAAATTTTAACTTTGTATAAACACAACCAAAATGCCATAGTGTGCCAATGTTTTACACTTTTTTTTTTTACAGAGGAAAATAAAAGCATGAAATATCCCATAACACAAAAGGCTCATCAACTGTTTCCAAGTATGAATTGGTACTCATGCCTTTTGATCCTGAAAAAAAATAATCTCTCCTCTGTTTCAATTTTATTTCATTTTAATCACAATATGCCCACGAAGACAAATAAACCTACTTTTTCTTTCAAAGCATTCCCTCTAAAAGGTCCCCTTTAAATCACTGCAGCTGACAAACAGCAGCAACTCAGTTGGTGAAAAAAAAACAGAAGGAGAACTTGCCTTAAGGACAGAGAACTGGAACTGCTGTTTACCACAGTTCGCAATATGAAGAGAGAGGGAAATATTCTGTTCTTTAATAAACAAAGCAATTGTCATAAGGTCTCAGGATGCTTCCTCTTGTGGAAGGCAGATATTTCCTTTTCCTTTCAGAAGGTGCTCTAGTACATTTTACTGTGACTTAAATGTACATCATTCTAATTTCTAAGAGCTTTTTACTAAAACATCTACTAAGTGAAAAAAAAGGTACACATTTATACCAATTTTAAACACTGAGGCTCAATTCTGCATGATATGAATATAAAACTGCAAAATGGAGGGAAAATAAGAAGGGCATTATGTAAAAAATAAATAAGTAGTTTTCTTTTACTCCTGAAATAAAAATAGTATTTGGTAGAATAAGTTCCATGGGGATTCATGGTTGTTACCTGTTTCTAACAGAACTCTCACAACATCCACCTTTCCAAACAAAGCTGCTTCATGAAGTGCACTCCCCTTTTCTGTCTGGAAAAAAAAATATATAAGAAAAAGAAGCACAGTTGCATTAGAAATGATTACAGGTTTTTAAAAATTGTGTCATTTTATATATTCATACATATTCTCTGTAATGTCAGCACTTCTCTTTTTTCCCCCCTTTTATTATATATATTATTGATTTTAGAAAGGAAGGGAAAGGGAGAGAGAATAGAATAGGGGTAATACTGGGCATGTGCCCTGACTGGGAATCGAACCTTTGACCTTCTGGTTGATGCTCAACCACTGAGCCAAGCAGGCTGGGCTCAGCACTTTTTGAGAGAAAGGTAGTGTAAAGAAGACATTCCAATCTCACCTATTCTCCCAGGCAACATCCAGTCAGTCCCTGACACAGAGCCACTTTACTGACTTACAGCTGACCCCAGACAAATGAGAGGACCCAGCCAAGATGGAAGAACTACCCAGATAAGCTCAGACTAAACTACCAACCCCAGAATTATGAGCTAAATACACAGTTATTGTGTGAAGCCATTCAGTTCGGGCATAGTCTGTTATGCAGCAATAGCTTACTAATACACAGGGGAAAAGATCACAACCTGACAGGTAGCTTACTAATACACAGGGGAAAAGATCACAACCTGACAGGAACCAGAAGATAAGAATGCCACCACTCACGTGGGAGAAAAAAAAAAAAAAAAGAAAAAAAAAACAGAAAAGAATAAAATAGTTTTTAAAAGTTTTGGTAGCCAAAACCAGTTTGGCTCAGTGGATAGAGCTTTGGCCTGCGGACAGAAAGGTCCTAGGTTCGATTCTGTTCAAGGTCATGTACCTTAGTTGCAGGCACATCCCCAGTTGGGGGTGTGCAAGAGGCAGCTGATCGATGATTCTCTCTCATCGATGCTTCTAACTCTCTATCCCTCTTTCTTCCTCTCTGTCAAAGATCAATAAAATATATATTTTTTTAAAGTTTTGGTAACTTGGAACAGATAATGAAAGTAGGTTACCATTTCCTTGTTGAGAAACAAAATCTATCCTAGTGTTATCCATCCTTCAAAGCTCAACTCTAACCACGTCTCCAATAAACTTTTTTTTATATATATATTTTATTGATTTTTTACAGAGAGGAAGAGAGAGGGATAGAGAGTTAGAAACATCGATGAGAGAGAAACATCAACCAGCTGCCTCCCGCACACCCCCCACTGGGGATGTGCCCGCAACCAATGTACATGCCCTTGACCAGAACCGAACCTGGGACCCTTCAGTCCGCAGACAGACACTCTATCCAATGAGCCACACCGGTTTTGGCTAAACATTTTTTCTGATAGCCTTAGGTACAATGGCCTTTCCATCATTGTTATGTACATACAGCACATTGTTGTGGAAAGAGGCCTGGACTTTAATCAGGAAGTCTAAATTCACATTCTGGGTGTATCAGCTATGTGTCCTTTGGCAAGTTTCTTAAATCTTTTAATCTGATTGCTTATATCTTAACTGGAACGTAACAGCTCTCAGTCCCTCCGGACAGTTGTGGAGAACTGGATTCTAAATGTGGTGACATATTAAACACAAAGTACAGACTCAAAATGTTCAAGTGAATTTCATTTCATTCAGTCATTCATTCAACTTTGATGGATTCCTAGTGTGTGCTAATTACTAGAAGAAAAGGAAACAGTTACTAAGGATACCACACACAACTGCCATCTAAGAATAATTTTTCATTAGATAGCCCTCAAATTAGAACGAGGTTAGAGATCATGCCTTATATCTCCTCGTATTTCCCAAAAGTGTGTGACAGGGTGCCTTGAACTTAGTAGTTACAAAAATATTTGCAGCCAAAACCAGATTGGCTCAATGGATAGAGCGTCGGCTTGGGGACTAAAAGGTCCCGGGTTCGATTCCGGTCAAGGGCATGTACCTTGGTTGCGGGCATATCCCCAGTAGAGGGTGTGCAAGAGACAGCTGAAAGATGACTCTCTCTCATCGATGTTTCTAACTCTATCTCTCTTCCTTCCTCTCTGTACAAAATCAATACAATATTTTTTTTAAAAAAATATTTGCAGACAATTTGACTAAGCAAACAATGGTACGATCTCTACATATGTGTTTTTTTTTCTTTTAAAAAAATATATATTTATATGTGTAATTAAATAATATACAATATGTAATATATAAATAATTACACTAATCAAACAATGGTACGATCTCTACATATGTTTTTTCTTTTAAAATATATATATATTTATATGTGTATGTATAATTTTTTTTTCACAAAGGAAGGATAGAGAGAGAAACATCAATGATGAGAGAGAACCATTGATCGGCTGTCTCCTGCACGCCCCCTAATGGGGATACAGCCAGCAACCCAGGTATGTGCCCTTGACCAGAATCGAACTGTGGCCTCCTGGTTCCTAGGCGGATCCTCAACCACTGAGCCACGCTGGCAGGGCTCTCTATGTGACTTTTAGCATCTGCATCTCAAAGCAGCACAAGAGCAACATCCCTTGAAAAGCCCAGCGCACAGAAGCCTCACCTGACAGCTCACGTCCATGCCTGCCTCCAGCAGCACCTGGACCACCGCTTTGTGGCCGTTGCGGGCGGCCAGGTGCAGCGGCGTGTGCTTGCGCGTGTTGCAGCTCATGAGGTTGGGGTGCGCGCTGATGATCATCTTGACCACCCGCAGCCGCCCGTACAGCGCCGCCAGGTCCAGCGGCGTCTCCAGCTTGCTGTTCCTGATGGTGGGGTCCGTGAGCTCGTCCAGCAGAACGGCCACCACCTCCGAGTGTCCATACTGAGCTGCGCAGTGCAGGGCGGTTTCATTCTCGTTGTTCTGCCAACGCATAAAACGCACGTTTTCAGAAACCCAATTCCTTAACAAAATGTGAACCCCACCATCTATTGTAAAAACTCAGGTGCTTTGAAAATGCGTTTAAGATGTATCTATTTTGGTAAGTACTCCTAATAAAATTTTATATCTGATAGAAGTACGCATCATGGATGCCATCAAAAAAATATCACATTTGATTTTTATCGCTTCAATGGGGGGGGGGGGGGGGGGGAGAACAATCAACTTTTCCCTACATTATTTATTCCAGTTTCCAAGAGTGATAAATGATTTAGCCATGTTAGTCAGTGGCCCTGCTGGGCCCAGATGGTCAGTGTTTCAGTGTGATATTTGTTAATGAGGGAGATTAATAACAATTATAACACACTTTCAATAGCCTGGCTTTCCAAAGGACAAATAAATCCATCAATTCTTTTTTTTTTTTTTAAGTACACTGTTGCTGTCTCAATGGGACTTCAGATATATATATATTTAATTGATTTCCGAGAGGAAGAGAGAGGGAGAGTGAGATAGAAACATCAATGATGACAGAGAATCATTGATCAGCTGCCTCCTGCATTCTCCTATAGGGGACGGAACCTGCAAGCCAGGCATGTGCCCTGACTGGGAATCAAACTCTGACCTCCTGGTTCATGGGTCAAAGCTCAACTCCTGAGCCATACCGGCCAGGCATGGCTGCTTCTTTATATGCTTAGTTTAGGACTTCTGTTCAGCCAGTCCTCAGATGGCTCGCCAGGCTGACTGTTCGGTAACTTAGCTGTAAATGTGATGTGGTCATGGGAGGAGGGGAGCACAGCATCCACCTGGTCTGGTGTCCCCCACTAACCAGTAAATTCCTGATAATGGAAGATATACAGGGAGGTCTCCCAAATTAAGTTTCATTTCATTTTCCTTATAATTAAGAGAATGAAGACATAGGGTGCCCTAATATGAAACTAAATTGACGCCAAAACACAAAATATAGAAATGAAAAAAGAACCTCCTTGGGAAAGACTTTTTTTTTTTAATATTTAACATCACACAAAGCCAGTGTTTCTCTTTAAAACTTACCATTGCAGTCATACCCCATTTAAAATGGGCAAGTTTCAAATATAAATGAATTCTAGGTGTGTGTGTTTTCTTATTGTCATGTCATTTAAAAAGTATTTTGTTTGTAAAAATTAATCCTCTTGTTTAACCTTGGATTATTTTTCCATTTTATTTCAGGTTTTTGCTTTGGGGCATTCAAACAGTTATTCAGAATAACCACCAGATGGCTCCTACCACAAATGATCTTTTAACTTCTGGTTTTCTGAAGAACAGAACAGCATTCTCATACATTTCCTTTTAGCATGATACACTGAGCCATACCTGCCTTTTTTTAAGATCAGACTTATGTGTGTACTCTCATAAAAAAATATTCTGCATCTTTAACCTGTAAACACAGACATTTTTATTGTAGTAAGTATTACTAAGACAATTAATAAAACATTTTTCTTGATTAGTGCTTCCTATTGCATTTTGGAAGAACAAATTGTTTTCTTCCTTTTGCTGCTTATAGCTAGTGAGAGTGTGATTTTTTTACTCTTCAGTCTGAATTTCATCGAAGGCCCTGCAAAGTCTGTATCTATTTGAACAATATGCTAATTACACTTTATTAGATGTGCTTGCCCTAGAGTAACCTACTCGCATTGATATTGGACAGCTGCCAACCTGCAGCTTAATGCCATGGTTGAAATTCAATTGTTGGGACTGCATGCTGTTTTCAAATATTGTTTTACAAAATGGGAACAGTAGGGGGCATGCAGAGCTAAGATGTTTGTTATCGTACTATTTCAGAGGACTTTATTCTGCTTTCTGGAATCTGTGGTCTTATTTATTTAGAATACTGACAATGGCCTTCCTCTTTTAATATGTCTGTTTTGAGTAATGTGAATATTATGCACTTGCAAATATTATGTCTTCACCTGTGGTATCAACTGCTGTTGGTGTTTTACACAACTTACTCTAGGCATATGTATATATTTACATACATAGAAAATGTTTCACTTAATTTGTGACTAGCAACTCTATACATTGTATTTTGATTTGCAAAAGGCACTTATTGTGAAAGTGCTATGTAAATGGTAAATCACTATACAAATGATAGTTATCATCACTTCAGTAGTACTTAAAATTGTACTAAGAAAAGCTCGAATTCACATAAATGTGAATTCCATTCTATCTTTAAATATCCAAAAATTATAAAATCTATTCTTTTATAAGGCAGGCAAAAATATCATAACTACTTCCTTTAAATGGGGTTTTCTTGTTAACAAATATCTTAACAAATGCGCAAATTAAGTACCTAAGTTCTGTATAAAAATGCCAAAGAAATTTTTAAATTTCCCTTTAGGAAATTCAGAAGTGGAAAAGTGTTTGGCAGGGTAAAGACAGAAGTAATCAAATCTTTTCACATTCACTTTTTAGTCTCATTTTTAAATAATTTAAATTTTCACTTGTGTCTTTGCCTTCTCAAAACTCTAGAAAAGGTATAGCATGAGCAAACATTGGACAAGTGCACCTGTTCATTGACTCGAGAATGCGATGGCCCATGATGAATAAGAATCTTCACAATTTCCTCATCTCCCTTCCAGGCAGCCAGGTGAATAGGAAAATAACCCTTGTTGTCTGCTACGTTTGTTGATGCCTCATATTGAAGTAGTTTGAGAACTATTTCCCTAAGAAGAAAAAGAAGAAGAAGAAAAGCACACAACAGAAAAGAAAATATGCTGAACAACACGGATTTTATTAAATAGATCATCATTAAAGTATATTAAAAGCTGGGTGGCAATTTAGAAAAATAATTCAAAGTACTAAGGTATAAACTTGGGTTTAAGAATCTGCTTATTGAACATCTGGCTGTTGTACTTACCTGAAAAATGGCCACTGCCACACATACTCACACAGAGCGTTGACTAACTGATGAAACGACTTAATAGAAGTCATTTGAGAAAAATTTATCTAATGTCATTAACTGAATGAACTAAGTAAAAGAATTTAAAAAGCATACCTCTTCCCATTTAAAAAAAAAAAAAAAAGTAGTTCCTTCCAGATATCCCATACCTGAGATATAGCCTAAAGAAAAACTTTAGGTACAAGCAAACTCCTTGCTTACTTTAAAAAAAAAAAAAAAAAAAAAAAGTTTATTATACTACCAACAGACATTTAGGGAGTTTATGTATCATTCCTATTGAGAACTGTGGTATGTAACTGAAGATGCATATACAAGAGAAAGCAGACAGCACAATAAGAAAGGGACTTTTAAGGTTTAGCTGCAGTACAAGCCCAAGGTTGGGGGGGGAAAGTTTAATTCATTTTCAGCGATAGCACACAATATACTTTGAATGTGTATTGTTCATACTTCTGCACTCATTCACCTTTGTCCTCTCAAGCCTAAAGAACCATTTTAAGAGGTAAATTCATTCATGAGACAAGTTCTATCATTGATGCAATTTCAGTACATACTCAATATATCCTACCTATAGGATTTTGTACTAAATCCCACCAGGTTTTCAAAGTAAAATTTCTGAATTGCAATACTCAACCTCAGGAGGAATTAATTCATCATTATTAGTATAATTCCACTGAGCTTGGCAACAATCAATCAAGAACAACTGACCGACTATATTTTCAGTTGGATGCACTTAAAAAGCAAATTCTATTCATTCGCTAAATGAAATCCTAGCTAGCTAAAGAAATACATACAAACAGATGATCACAACATATTCTAACGTTGTTTCTCATATTTAACAAATCACCAGTGGTGAGGATGAATATAACATAGAGGCCTACATTTAAACATTTCATAAAGCCAGGCTTTACATGTAGCAGATGAGAAAAGTTGGAGGAACTCTGAACAGGAGTTAGAACTCTGATAGCCCACTGTAGGTGATTAGAATGAGCCGCCCAAGATGTGCCTCTGTGGTATGTGGATTTTTTTTTAACTAAAAGGCAATTGAGATCCTGTGGGTCTAAAAGAAATGTTTGTCCTCCACACCCCAACTACCTAGAACAGTGGTCGGCAAACTCATTAGACAACAGAGCCAAATATCAACAGTACAAAGGCTGAAATTTCTTTTGAGAGCCCAATTTTTAAACAACTTCTTCTAATGCCACTTTTTCAAAACAGACTCACCAGGCTGTGGTATTTTGTGGAAGAACCACAATCAAGGGGCCAAAAAGCCTAGAAGAAATGAAATTAGGGGCCTTGCCCATAAGAAGAATTATTATCAGAGATGACCTCTTTTGACCTATCTGTATGGTGGGACAAACATCTAATTACTGAACATCTGGTTTTTTATTGGATCTGTGGATGTCCTTCTCTTCTTCTGAAGCCTCAGATGTCTAACTGCCTTCCTTGATTCAGGAAGTCATCTGTACCTCATTTTGCCTGTCTCCCTCTGAACAATTCACGTATGTGGGGTCTCCGACTCTCATGTATGTGAGGTTTCCGTACATACAAATGTAATTAAATTTGGTTGTTTTGCTCTTGTTAATAGTCTGCCTCATGTCAATTTGGTTAGACCAGCTGAAAGAATCTATAAGGATAGGTTAAAATGTTTTCTTCCTCCACATCACAACAAAATAAATAAATAAACATGACACAACACAAATGACAGTAAATGATTTTTAAAAAAGAAAAACATTACCCAGAATGTGCCCTGAACTTGAGGAGAGCAGAATATACCACCCCAAAATATGCCTATTTGACACAAGGATGATTTTAGGCTGATTACTTTTAAGATGGGGAGAGCTCTGAAAGCTGAGAAGTTACTCTGTTGTAAGAGATGGTTGCATTGATCAGGGAAATCTCGATTTGTAAGAGTATCTCCCTCTGTGTACCAGCAGGAAAAAGCTGACTCAATCTTAATTCAATAAACTCTTATCAGTGGAGAAGGCAGGAACTTAAATCTGCAGACAACCCCATACTCTTGTTTACTGTGCTTTTTCCCCCATAACTGGCTTCCTCCCTCACGCCCTGCCCCAACATCTTTTGTCTTTAGCTAGCAATGGTACTTAAGGTGGTGGCTTTTGGGAGAGTTACTCAGTTTCCCTGATCTCTACCATCTATACAGGAAGTATACATGTTATTACATTTCTATTTTCTTTCCTCCTGTTACTCTTTTTGTTTTTTTGCTTTTGTTAATCCTCACCCAATGATATTTTTCCATTGATTCTTAAAGAGAGTGGAAAGAAGGGGAAGATAAAGAAAGAAACATCAATGTGAAAGAGACACATGTGCCTCGACTAGGGCCAGGGATCAAGTCTGCAACCAAGGTATGTGCTCTTGACCGAAACTGAACCTGCAACCCTTCAGTCTGTGGGCAATGTGCTATACACTGAGCAAAACTGGCCAGGGCCAGTTTATCTTTCTTACATCAACTTAATTATCAAACCAGCCAAATAACCAAAAGGGAGGAAGGAAAACTCTTTCCACCCCTGCACCACTTGCCAATATCTAAATCAGAAAAGAGTAATAATACGGATGTTTATGCAATGGCCTTTGGTGAACAATAAGATCTCCCGTAAGACGCACTTTTCCCCCCCCCCCAGAAGTGGGGGGAAAAAGTCCCTGCGTCTTATGGTCCAAATATAGCCTACACATATACTTTTAAAAAAAAGTTTTTTTACTTGCCCGGCTCTGTGTGGTCTCTGTGTGCTTGCCCAGCTCTAAAATGGTTCTAAATGCTGCTGTTTACTTTACAGGGTTGATTACATGTGTTTATGACTGTGATGTTGGGTTTTAATGCACATAAAATATTTTAGGACACTATTTGTTTCAGAATCTTTTTTTCATTTCCCTTCTCTAAAAACTGGTGCGTCTTATGGTCCAGAGCGTCTTATGGTCTGAAAAATACGGTAATTAAATACTGTTATTTTTATTTATGTTTTTAAAATGTTACTTGTTTTGTTAAATTTGTTTATTTTTTATTTTACATTTATCTTTAATTTTTATTTAAGTTGATCTTCTCACCTTATTCAGAGATATCAGCTAATGAACTGGCTTGGTTTAGATTTCTAATGTGAAAATATGTTTGTGAAATATAAAGTTATATCTCTAATCAAATAAGTGCCTTACTGAATCATAAAATATTAATCAACAAATTGTCATTAATTTTTTTTTCTGACGTATCCATGTATGTCACATGTAATACGTACTACATAGGCCTTTTTCATCCAAACTCATTCAAATTAAAGTTCAGGTACTTTCTATAATACCTAAATTTAAAAAGTAGTTAACACCAGGATCCCATCAAATCAGTATTTTCTTAATATCTCTTTAAGTTGTACCTTATAACTTCTAAAGGCATCAACAAATAAATAGGTTGACTATGCTTGGTTACCTCGTATGAAATATTAAGTTATATTGATGAACAAGTCTATAGCAAGCAGAGAAGTAATTCCTATTTAATTTCAACATAAAATGGTACTTCTCCTCATATGCAGCATCTAATAAATAAGAAATGATTTAAAATTCTAAAGTAAATGTGATTGATGGGATCATAGAAAAAATAATCCCATTCCCCAGGAGCTAAACAACATATCAAATAAATTTAATAATAATCCAATTCAAAGCAATGCAATGCAACACTTTGCAACTTGAGGCTAATATATCTAAAAGTGTTGATTTTTCACTACTGTATCATTTTCTGGTAAGTATAACTATACTGCCAATTAATATGAAACTTTTTTTTTTAAGTTTCAGTTTAGGGTCTGAGTAAAATTAAGCTAATTGGGAAGGTTCAAAATTCTATTATTTTTTTTTTACCTCAACAGCAAGTTTTCCTATAATTAAATCATAACCAAAGATTATTTTTTATTTTAGGATTGTCTTTATTGATTTTTAGAGAGAGAAGAAGGGAGAAGGACAAAGAGCAAGAAACCTCAATATGAGAATGGAACATGGATTGGCTGCCTCCTGCCTGCCACCTACTGGGGATCTAGCCTGCAACTTGGGCAGGTACCCTGACCAGGAATAGAATCAGCAACCTTTTGGGGCATGGATGATGCCCAACCAACTGAGACACACCAGCTAGGACTAACCAAAAATATTTAATTTGTTCTGTCTTCCTTTGCTTATTGGCAGTCGAAAGAACTTTGAAATAAATACAAATCATCTTCATATGGATATGGTATTAACAAAATTAATGAAATTCTTAAATTCATGAAGGTTCTGTTAATTTTAGATTTTCTTAAAGATTTTATTTCTCCTTGATGGAAATAAAGTGGCAAATTTAAAAAATCTAAATTAGAGGCCTTTCCTGTAATAAGAATTATTACCGGAAATAACTTAGGACCTATCTATAATATATGTAGGGCAGGGTAATCTTCTATTTACTGAACACTTGCTCTTTTTATCATCCTAATAATGACCTTTCTCCCCTCTGCAGGCCCAGGAACCTTAACTCATCCTTAGTTCAAATGTCATATATACCTCATTTTAACTTTCTGTCTTTTAATCTCTAACATATATGGGGTTCCCATATATGTGTGTGTGTGTGTGTGTGTGTGTGTGTGTGTGTGTGCGCGCGCGCGCACGCAATAAGTTTGGTTATTTTCTCTAGTTAATAATTTGTCTCATGTTGATTTGATTGCTGGATGAATCAAAAGAATATGGAATGACAGAGTAAAATGCCTTCCACCCCACACTGGCTAGTTACTATTTAAATTAAAGGAATCAAATTTGTAGTAGAAATACATGAGATGATGAATTTTCCATATTTAAAGAGAGTAATAGATAGGTCTATAGCCTATCTATTGAAATAATTAATCTATAATTGTTGCTACTGAATTTTGTTCTACTGACCATGATTTTTCAATCATTTGAAAGCAACAATTTTCTAATCTTCAATTACAAATACCCAAGAAATCATCAACAGAGTATATTTTCTATTGTGTCCTAATCTGGCAAAGTAGAGATGAATTGTCCATTATAAAATAATGTATATCAGATACAAAATGCTGCTCACTTGTGTATTAACTTCTGTTGATAAACAAGTGCTACCAAAAAGCAAACAAAATAAGAGGAAGCAGGCTTAATATGCAGTAAGAAGTCCATAGATTATATGTTGGGAGTAGGAAAAAGCCTGCATTCAGAGCAAAAATAAGATAACTACAGGACCCTGTAACATTATTTCTAGCTCTATGATTTCATAAACTTCAGCCTAAAAATCACAGTGTTTATGGAAACAATCTAGAGCTGATGGCTACGACAACAATAGGAACCCACGTGGAAATGATGTGTTTCCATGCTGACTGCTAAGGCTTGCTTGGAAAGAATACAACACAATCAATAGTTCATTACCTATGCTAAGTGAGAATAGCAAAGGCAAAGAAAAGAAAAACCTTCTCTGGCTCTGAGATATATTCTATGACATTTTTTTCTCCTTCAACTGTCTTAAGACAATAGTAAAATTAGCATTCCATGTGAACACCCTAGATGATGGCAATGGGAGGCAGCCCAGAAAGGCACAATGGGACAGAGAAAAGCCAGCGAGAGTTTAGGAAACTGACTGTGTGTGTAGACAAAAAAAAGGGAGATAATATAGAGTGTTGGTAAAATCATACACTTTAAACTACAACACTTAGACTCTAAACACAACCCCACCTTAATATCTAAGTGGCCACTCAGTCACTTATCCAGAATGGCCTTATTTCTCCATCTATAAATGAGGGAAGTGAGGAGGGTAAGGTGAAATAAATGATCTCCAATTTTAAAAGTCCATGGGTAATTTAAATAATTTAAAATAGGGCAATCTTATACTTTAGATCAGTGGTTCTCAACCCTTCTAATGCCGCGACCCTTTAATACAGTTTCTCATGTTGTGGTGACCCCCAACTATAAAATTACTTTTGTTGCTACTTCATAACTGTAATTTTGCTACTGTTATGAATCAAATGTAAACATCTGTGTTTTCCGATGGTCTTGGGCTCTACAGCAGTGGTTCTCAACCTGTGGGGTGACCATCGGAAAACACAGATATTTACATCATGATTCATTAACAGTAGCAAAATTACAGTTATGAAGTAGCAACGAAAGTAATTTTATGGTTGGGGGTCACCACAACATGAGGAACTGTATTAAAGAGTCACGGCATTAGAAAGGTTGAGATCCACTGCTTTAGATAAAAATTCGAATTTTAGAGTTGTAGCATCATAACTGATCCACAAATAATACCAAAACAATATACCACAAAATATTATAATTGGGAGAAACAAGGAAAAATACCAGTATGTTAAACTGAGGCCTAGAGAGGATAAGTAAATGGCTCAAGGTCACATAGTAACTAACAGAGATGGGAAGACAGAATTAAAAATTTCCTGCTTTTTTCCAATGCCTATAGAATGGCACTGAGTAAAATCTTTCTAGAAGATGTTAAAAAGGTCAATGAGATCTTCAGATAAGCAAAGCAAAGATATAATTCTCAGAGTATATGTGCAATTAGGTCTTAAAAGATATTTAGATATCTCTTTATGATGATCTTAATAAATGCTATTCAATGCACTTAAATTAGCTTCACTTTGTACATTGCCAACAGAAACTAAAAATTATGCATTGAACCACCATGCAATATATCTAAGTAATTAGAATTTCATGGGCCATTATGGATACATCATTAACATTTACTAAACAATGAAAATCAAGGAGGGATGTGAATGCTAATCCATTTGGGGACAAGATTCTTTTTGAGAAGTGCTTATACTGGTAAGCTGAGGGAAAAGAATAAAAGTAGAATAGGTCACATTCTTTTGCTCTTCATACTGTACACTATCACATTCTTTGAAGCATAGCTCCATAGGTTAGTTACACAAGTTTAAAACCAGAAAGACCATCATGAATGACAAAGAAAAGGAACGTTAGCTAAATGTGAAGGATTTTGACGTGGTTTGTGTAAGTGTCCATGGCTCATAACAACAAGAATCTATTAAGATTTTGCTCCTAGTGAATAATTCCATGTTAGGTGAAGACACCAAAAAAGGTGTCTTGGAAGTGGTTTGATCCCATTCCCTCCTAAAGCTACATCTGACTAGCATGTCCTGTCACTTCTTTCATTCTCCCTGTGTGACAATTGACTAGTGTAGAGCAGGTCTCTAAGTTTACACTCCGCACATAATCATCCTCAGCAACATTCCTACCAAGTTCAACGTGTAGGTGTTGCTACCTGAGGCAAGTTTCTGTAAGCCCAGGGGACTCAGAGCAACATGAGACAGCGATCATCCGACATAATTAACTCCATCACATGTAACGAAATACACAAGGATTCCAGTCCAAATAAGTGGCACTTACTTATGTCCATTTAAGGCCGCGTGGTGTAAAGCAGTGTAACCCGAACTGTCTGTGCAGTTCACGTTGGGGCCTCGCCAGATGCTGCAAATAGAGCACAAGCGCAGAGTTAGCGGGTAAGCAGAATCGTGCTTTAGAAAACAGAAAGGTGGCCCCTCGGCCAGTGGCCTGTGGCTTATGAAAAGTCTAGTCACGTGAAAAATAATTGCCATCTTTCATATACCCCCCTCTGAGCAACAACTTCATTTATTTGATTCAAAGAAATTATTAGGGAATATAACTACCTCCAGAAATTATTAGCAAATGCAGGCCTGTGCCAAATATTAAAATCTGGGTCCATCCTAACCGGTTGGCTCAGTAGACAGAGCGTCAGCCTGCGGACTGAAAGATTCCAGGTTCAATTCAGGTCAAGGGCACATGCCCAGGTTGTAGGCTCAATCTGCAGTAGGGGGCGTATAGGAGGCAGCAAATCAGTGATTCTCTCTCATTATTGGTGTTTCTATCTCTCCCTCTCCCTTCCTCTCTGAAATCAATAAAAATATTTTTTTTAATCTGGATCCAACATTTCCCTATTGATATCGTAACTCAAATATTGGAAGCCATTTACATCCAGCTGCCATATTATAGACTAAAGACTAAAGATTTATATCACCTGCCTCTTCCCATTTAACACACTATTCTGAGATGGCACTGATTTATGTCACTTTTAGGATTATTTTTGCGTTATGGGGAGAATATCCTGGAGATAACACGTAACTATATAACAGAGTCCATTGTAACCTTGATCACTAAAATTACAGAAACTATTTTTAGCTATTGAGCAAATAAGGCATTGAAAGACACTTTTCCAAAAGTAAACCAAAAAAATGACTTTATCTGATTTCACGATGATATTAAAGCCATCCAAACTAACATCTAATAACAAATTAATTCATGTACTTGCAAAACACTGGTTGTACCCCAACTGCATGTCACATATAAAACTAGGCACTAGATAGAAAATCATCATTCAAGGTCCTGCTTTATAAGAACAGGGCCTAGACATATAAACTCACCATTCCAAAGTAGTAAGATACCTGAAGTACCAGAGAGCACGCAGGTTTCTCTGAGAAATAAATAGCTGTTCCCAACGAGAGATCATAACTGAATTAAACTAAGGCAGGACAATAAAAATGAATAGAATGCACTTATTCAAAATTTAGTTAAAAGGACCATTTTTTTCATTTTCAATTACAGTTGACATGCCATATTATTTTATATTTGTTTCAGATGTACGGCAGAGTGGTTAGACAATTACATAATTTACAGAGTGATCCTCCTGAAAGGTCTAGTACCCACCTGGCACTGTATGTGGTTATTACAATATTATTGAGTATATTCCCTATGCGGTACTTTACAGCTCCACGACTGTTTCACAGCTTCGTAATCCCTCCACCTTTCTCATGTGGCACAGCACTTCAAGCCCCTTTCCCATCCAGCAACTCTGTTTGTTCTCTGTATCTATGAGTCTTTTTATGTTTTGTTTGTTCATATATTTTGTTCTTTACATTCCACATGCAAGTGAAAAGATATGGTATTTTCCTTTCTCTGTCTGACTCATTTTCTTAGCATAAATCCCCCTAGGTCCATCCACATTGTCACAAATGAACACTACCTGATTTTAAGGCTATAATAAAGCTCTAGTAAACAAGACAGATAGCTTGGTATTGGAGGAAAGACAGATCAACAAAACAGAATGAAGGAACAGAAAGTCAATTTAGACTTTCTCACACATATGCAATTGATTTTTTACAAAGGTACAAAGGCAATTCATTAAAGAAATGAATTAGCAAAAAAACTGTTCTAGAACAAATGAATATCCTTAAGCCAAAATAAATAAAAAGAGTTTTGATCCATACCTTGCCACATACAAAAATTAACTTTAAAATGAATCGGAGCCCTGGCCAGGTGGCTGGGTACACTGAGTACATAATACGTAGGTTGAAGTTTTGATCCCTAATTGGCATGTATACAGGAGACAACCAATTGATGTTTTTCTCTCTTCTCTCTCTCTCTAAAACATATTCTCAGTTAAGGATTAAAACAAACAAAAAAAGCAAATTGCAGAATATTGTGTATGTTAATATCCTAAATGTTTTACATACATGTATTAAGTCATTTATATCCATCTGATCTAATAAAAGAGTAATATGCAAATTGACCATCACTCTAAGACACAGGATGGCCACCCCCATGTGGTCAAAGATGGCTGCCCCCATGTGGACACAAGATGGCTGCCACAAGAATGCCAACAGGAGAGGGCAGTTGTAGACAGTTAGGGGTGACCAGGCCAGCAGAGGAGGGCAGTTGGGGCTGGGTAACCAGTCCAGCAAAAGAGAACAGTTGAGAGGAACCAGGCCTGCAGGGGAGGGCAGTTTTGGGAGGAACCAGGTCTGCAGAGGAGGGCAGTTAGAAGGACCACGCCTGCAGGAGAGGGCAGTTGGAGGGGGGGGGAGGGGTGGAGGAGGACTAAGCCTACAGGGGAGGACAGTTCAGGGGGAACCAGGCCAGCAAAGGAGAGCAGTTGGGGGGGACCCAGGCCTTCAGGGGAGGGAAGTTGGGGGCAATCAGGCAGAGGCAAGCAAGTGGTTGGGTGCCAGCGGTCCTAGATTGTGAGAGGGATGTTCAACTGTCTGTTTAGGCCCGATCCCAGTCGGGCCTAAACGGGCAGTTAAACATCCCTCAAAAGGTCCCAAATTGGATAGGGTGCAGGCTGGGCTGAGGGACACCCCTCCTCCATGCACCAATTTTGTACACCAGGCCTCTAGTACAACTATAAAACAGATGCTAATCTTTATTTTTAATTAAATTGATTGGGGTGAACTTGCAGGTTTAACAGATACTATTCTTATTCTCAATGTACAGATGAGAAAAATTTGCATTAACATAGAAAAATGCATGCAAAAATATATTATTCACCTCTAAATTGTTTGAACAGTCACAATTATCACATAACTCTTCAAGGAAAAACAGAAAAGACAATAAAATAGAAGGGGAGAAAAGCATAGGTTTGTTCTAGGTTGTGAAGAGCCTTATAACATGTCCAGAAGCTTAGTCTTGATTCTATAGGCAACTTGGAGCTAGAGGATTATCAGAGAGATATGAAGCATGTTTCTGTCATGACCAGGTCATGAGGGCTCTAGTGACACCTGGAAGGGAAACAGTGAACAAACTGGTGGCAGGGAGTCAGGTTCATTGTCTGTTTTTACAGTCTCAGGAAGAAACAAAGAAATTTGGACAAATGGAGATATAGTAGTGGATAAAGAAGATGGGAAATTCAAATAGGTGTGTCTAAAATAAAACCTATGGGGAATGGCATCCACATGATAGGCTAAGTGTCAAAGGCTTCCATCATGAGTGAAATGCATGGATGATGAGATATCTCCATGAGAGCAGTGGGGTCTTGTGGGAAAAGGCAGGTTTCCTTTAAAACGGACTTGAACGCTAGGTTGCTCAAGAATACCTCTGGCACAGGATAGAAAAAAAAAAATAAGAAAATACTGTGAATTAACTCAAATTATTTTTTAAATTTCCTATATGTTATGAGACCTCATAAATATTTAGGAAGGAAAGATATTGATATTCATAACTAAAATAGATTCAGGGTCGATAGATTTCATTTACCTATACCATCTCAGTTCCCCATTACCAGAAAAACAAGGAATTCATTATAAAAGCATGAAAAAATATCTCCAATGTATTTATCATTTCCTAAATAGAATGGAAGAGGATAGATTTAAAAAAAAAAACAAAAACAAAAAAAACAAGGAGGTTTAGAATAGAAATTTAGCATTTGTATATAAATATATTTGACTGCACCTATTACCAGAGCCTTAGGCAGATATCCATATATTCATAGAACGTACACATACATTTTAAACACTATAAATAGGCCAGACCCAAAACTTCCAATTACAGGCTTACTTTAAATAAACTTTGATGCTTAAAAGCTCAATCTACTGACTCAAAACCTTGAGCTAATACCATTCCAGCTTTTTGCACTGCCCTCCTCTTGTTTCTCTTTGATAATCTCCGAACTTAAAAAGAGGGCCTGTGTTAATAAGGCTGTTCTATAAAATGCAAGAGTTCTAAGTACCTTAAGGGATGTCTCAAAAAGTTTTAAATAATTAATTACATTTTACTTTATACATCCTTGGTCTTTAATATATTTTTATTAATTTAGATTTCAGAGAGGAAGGGAGAGGGAAAGAGATTGAAACATCAATGGTGAGAGGGAATCATTGACTGCCTGCCTTTTGCTCACACCTCCTCCCCGCACCCCCAGGGATCAAACCTGTAACCCAGGCATGTGTCCTGACTGGGGAATCGTACCATGACCTCCTGACTCATAGGTAGAAGCTCAACCACTGAGCCACACCTACCGGGCATCCTCAGTCTTATTGTAACATAAACACAATCTCATCTCCTATACCTACTGGTCGATATTTTTAATTTTTTTTATGTGAGAAATCTTGCCCAGAATGAATGCTCTGATATCATTAGAAATCCCCAATGACCAAAGATTCAATTTTCTTTGTTATACTGTTTGCACTAATATAATATATTGGATTAGTATGTTTTTAAAACAAATATAAACAAAATAGAGGTTTTCCATAGAACTTTCAAATGACCGGACATTCATTAGTCAGTTTTCACATATTCAATAAAATTATTCCTAAATAAATTTTTTTAAAAACTGAGTTTGTTGGGCCAATATTCATATGTATAGCAAATCAGACTTAGGCACAGCTATTCCACAAATTGATCGTCATTATGCCTTCTACCAACCTATGGGAAATACTCATCGGAAGCAACATTAGAGTGTTCAGCATTTCTTAATTCCCATCTGACTCATGACACCTGAGGTCACTCCAGGCCTTCAGATACGGAAGCTCATTCAGAAGGTGCGTTGAGTGCCTCAGGCCTGGTCAGAGTTTGTAGGAATGGTCTTCTGACCAATCGGATCATTTCAAGCATGCAAAACCAAGTCCCTATTTTTTTCTATTTGTATCTTAATATTCTGCTCCCATGTTTGTAAGAATTGG